AGCGAGAACTTGACGCCGGTTTAGGAAATTAGTGTGAATTATTTGTACAATAATTTTCCAAATGGTGCTCTCATCCTGTTTCGTCGTTTGTCGAATAAGTAGCGAACGTCTTTCTCTGACGCGCGTTATTATTCTCGTAATAGTTTTTTTGTGTCATGTTTTTGTGCAACGACATTCATTTGCGCTTCGATGTTTTTTTTTTAGTCGTCGTTGTTGCCGTGTCATCGTCGTCGCGGTTGTCATTATCGTTATTAACGCTGTCATTGTCAATACTGGCTGCGTTCAGGAGATCAAACAGTCTCTGTTTGAATATGGCAATCGAATCTGATTGACGGAGAGAACGGCGTAAGCAAGAAATATGCGAGACAGAAATATTAAAAAGTGTGTTCGTGACGATTTATACACTTTATTCATTACGAGAAACGCACAAATTTCAAAGCACAAACACACCACATATTCCAATAAAATTGAATGTCTGATTTTATAAATCAAGAACCAATTTAAACAAATATATCCCGTATCCCACTCTTATATATATTCGTGTTTCTAATCCGTGTATCTCGACCACGGCTGGATATATGCAGCGAGACAAATCCAAGACGATGACATCTAATCCTCTATCCCCGGTGCGTCCCGCTCGTAAATCCACCAATCACATTCAATTGCATTCAAGACTGTTACATCACCGTAACAACACGTCTGCTGAACACGGCCTTTGTTCTCGTTATCAGGTCCGTCCTCATCCTTAAAGGCCTCTCTGCCACCGAGCGAGTTACGAAGCTCGTCGCTCGCGCGTTCTCGACCAGCGAGAAAACATCTTTTCCCTCTTTCACATTCTCTCTCTCTCTCTCTCTCTTTCTCTTCCTCCCTCTTTTTCTTTCTCTCTCTATCTCCCCGAATTTCAACGATCGTCACCCTCCCACACGTCAACTTCCTGTCCGTGCGAGGCGAGCGTGGACGCCTCTGGAGTGTGCTGGCAACAGCACACGCCGGCTTCCTCGTCGTTGTCCCTCTCGACCCGCGCGCGTCTGTCCCTTTCCTCCGCCCTACCGACCCTACGCGGATCACGGATGCAGACGTAGAAAAATAACGATCGCGCAATCCACACTGGATACACACACACGCATACATATATACACACACATATATATATATATATATACATATATATATATATATATATATATATATATTCTCTCTCTCTCTCTTTCTCTCTCTTGTGTGTTTATGTTTTATCTCGCCGCCTACTTAAGCTTACGCCGCCGCGTGACCGCGATAACGCTCTCGTTAATTCGTTATACGACGACGAATGTTCACTCGCTCATGCGTGCGTGCGAGACGAGACGCGCTCGCGTAGAATTGCTGTGCCTTCCGACCGACATTCCAAGGGAAATGATAGCCGCGGCGTTCCGAAGAAAAATTCAGCGTTAGAGAGTTGCTTGAAAACAACAGTTTTATTCGAGCGACTAATAAAATGTCAATGGAAGAAAGACGCGGACGCCCTGCACGTCTCATCCTGCACGTACATACAACATCTCTGTCTTTCTTTCTCTCTCTCTCTCTCTCTCTCTCTCTCTCTCTCTCTCTCTCTCTCTCTACACATCATGTGTATATATAACGTATCTCTTACGAACACGGCCGTTGCAAAGTCAGCAATGTCGTCATCGTCGTCACGCGTTATAATAAAACTCTGATGCTCCGTGTATAAATATTGTTTTTAACACACGTTTTCAAAAATTTGCCCTGGTGATCTGTATAGGTGTAGGTTGCGCGGAGGCGAGAAATGATTGGTACTTGCTTCGTGGCGGAATCGCGACGACGACTGCGAAGGGTAACGAACCACGGTAGAAAGGATACATGTGGATGTATCGGCGCGTGTTACACGTCTTTAAACGAAGTTAAATCCGTCCCGAGACGGATCTCAGTCAGCGGATCGGAGCCGTGCTGAACTTTCGCGATTGGGCGGGACTGACGTTTCACGCGGGCGAGCCGCCCCTAAGAATTTTTACAGTAATGGACCTTTGAACACGTATTCCTTCCACCGTGGTAATCGTCGATCGAAAAAAAAAAAAAGAAGAAAAAATGATCACCGAGACGCGCCGCAACTTTGACAGACGCGCGAGCGCGGTAAGATCGACGTTGAATCTGTACGCGATTCCGCGCGAAGTCTCTCTTGTGCGTAAACCCGTCTGATTCTGCGCTTATTAACATCTGTCGGCGGCGAACGCCGCCGACGGCGCTAGTTAAAAATATACCTCGAGCACCGCGAGAAACCAAGAGGTGAAGGATACGTTCGCTTTCGCGACGCGGGTGCGCGGGGGGAGGGGGGTAGGGTGGGGGGAGGAGGGGGACAAAGCTGCGAGCTTCGACGATGCGCGACGATGACGATCGTCCTCGTGGAATCGTCGAAATTGATTTGTTTAACAACGCAAATATCGCACGCGGGGGAAACCAAAGTCGGATTGCTTAAGATTGCTGTTATTCAAAAGGCACAACGTAGGGTTTTTTTCTCATTGTCCGATTAGCAAGAATACTGTTGCGATCCAATTTCTTTTTTCCTCGTATATATATATACATATATGTAGAAGGTCCTCTCTCTCTCTACGCAGAAGCCTTCCCTTCTATAACATTTTTTTCCTGTGTTGTTTCCAGGCTTTTTGAAGATTATTCGCAAACTTCAGAATTCGAAGTGAAACACCCTCGCTACTGAAAGAGCAATATATTTCAGAGCGAAACTATATTTTTACATAACAGTATAAGTATCTCTTTTGTAATTAAAAACTCCGCCGGCCGAATCGGGCGAACGAAATTCGCGCGCGAGCTCCGGTACTGTGCACCGTATACACAATATATATACATATATATATATATATATATATATATATTATATATATATATATGTGTGTATAATAATTACAATAATAATAATAATAATGATATAATTACAACACTCTAAAGTATCCTCGATTTTGTCGCGGAATTTGCGATGAGAGACGGGTTTACGCGCGCGGCGATCGATTTGCGATTATTCGAATAACGATACACTAGAATGTATTAATTCATTTATTCCGAAGCGCGTTTATACTACGTCGTGTAAGACTGCGTGTAAGTTTTTGCAAATGTGTAAATATCTAGCTGATGATGAATCTGCGGAATCGCGCCTCCCCCCCCTCTCCGTCCCCTTCAGCCGTTCGTCGAGCAACATTAGAAAGACGTCGCTTCTTTTCTTCATTATTATAATTTTTTTTTTAATGCCGATACGCACGTTTCTCTTTTGTGTTTAATTAGCGACAGAGGATCGCGACGCGGAAGGGTTTGAAAGAGAAATGTGGGGGAAGGGGCGGCAAAAGAGCGGAGGCACAGACAGGCAAGTATAGATATACGAGATAAAAGTCCGCGAGAGAGAAGAATCCGAAGAGAAGAAAAAAGGAGCGACGGTACAATGGACCTCCCCTCCACCGGAGGGGACGCAAAAAGGGTCTCGCACACACGGCAAATTACGCGATCGTAAAAAAGCCCAAAACGCGGCAGAGAGACGCGGGACTTCGTTGTCGAGGACGTGAGTCGATATTAACTCCGGGATGTGTTTCGCGCGAGGCGCTGAGGGGAGAGTATCTCTGACGGGATGTCTCACAGAGCGGACATCTTTTTGAAGGGGGGGGGGGGGAAGAATAGTTCACATTCGCGTTCACGTGGAACGACAGGTACACATTCGCGTATCTGATGCGCGAGAAAAAACGGCGACCGGAAGGGGCGGGAGAGAGGGTTGTAGAACCAAAGAGCGGCGCGATCAAGCGTTTCGCGCACCGCGTTCCGCGAGAGATGCAAGCCGAGCGAATGTAGTTATAGCTACTACCCGCGCGTACATTTTCATTTCACGAGAGAATGAGTCCTCTTTCCGCGCCTGCGAACTTTTTCTTTCGCTCGTCTTCTTCATCGCTAATCGAAAGTGATCATCGTACGTCGGTATCATCATCATCATCGTTATCGTTATCGTCATTATCGGCTTTTCGCGCCTACGTTTCTCTTCATTGCTATACATATCACGCTACGATTATATATATATATATATATATATCCTTCTTCACGAACGAATGTCGCCGCGACGAGGCTCGACGGCGGCGTCCGAGGCGTCGCGGGGGCGAATAGACGGGTTTACTGCTGTAAAACGGTGTAAAAAATCCAAACGGCGGATATAGAGATTCGCGAGATTGAGCTAACGTGATACAAGATGGTGTAGACAAAAGGTCGCGCAGCCTAATCCGCTCGCGCGCCGCCCAAGACGCGCGGGATCGCCGTCGACGCTCTCGCAAAACGGTCGTGCGACGAGGAACATGAGGCGAAGAAATCTCTCGCGAGATCTCGGGGTATTGATTGCCCGCCCCCCGGCGTCGTGACGTTGCAGCCCTCGCGAGTCACGGTGTGGGGAAGTCGGCTCGCGGAGAGAACGTCGCGACGCCTTCGACCTCCACCGGTGTTCCTCTCTTCGTCTTCTCGGTCTCTCCTCTTCCTTTCTTCTTCTCGTGTCCCGAAATCGCGCGCTCTCGCGCCTCCCTCCTGTCGATCCGGACGGCACGACAATTGTAATCCGATCTTCGAAAGCCGCAAATATCCGGGGTCGGCAATCGGCGAGAAGTGGCATACTTCCGACTTCGAAACCGACTGATCTCATCGCAGTCTCCTTTTGTGTACCTCGTACGGACGCTCGTATTTAACTAACAACGTATCTCTCTTTCTTTCTTTCTCTCTCTCTCTCTCTTCTTTTTCTCCCAACGGTCGTGGCTCGTTTAAAGTCGATTTAAAGGCAACTCGTTGGAGGAATTGTTATTTATACAACTATAAGGCTGTCGATGGAGAGCACACGCGAGGTGCCCGCCCGGCCACTACTCCGCGCGAGCAGTGCGAGCGGCTAAGGGTGAGTGATCATCGTCGTCGACGATGCTGCTGCTGCTGCTGCTGCTGCTACTGCTGCTCCTGCTCCTGCTGCGGCTGCTGTGTAGGAGCGATTTGCGGCGCACGGACGGCGGCGGTGGCGGCGATAGCGACGACGGTAGCTGCTGCTGTTGTTGTTGCTGTTGCTGCTGCTGCAGCGGCGGCGGCGGCGGCGACGACGACGTTGGCGATCAGACGTCCGCGGTTCTCGAAGTGACGCTCGGCGATCGGCTGTGTATGACGACGCGGTGACCGTTCTTCGTAACGTAGCCGTCGCTCTCGACGAGCACCTTGGTCTGCCGGACGCACAGATCGGTGTCCGGATCGTCGCTCTCCTCGCTCGGTCCGCCGAGTCGCTGCTGCTTGTGCTTCCGCCAGGCGTTCTGTATGAGACGGGCGCAGTACTCCTCGCGCTGCCGCCACAGGGTGGACGAGACCGGCTCGTAGCCGGCCTCGTCGGGCCGGGCCTGGACCTCGCCTAGATCGGCCGTCTCTTCGATCGGATTGCCCTTCCGTGCGAAAAAGTCCTTGGTGAGGGCATCGAGGATATCCACGCAAAACATAAGGTCTCCCTTACATATGGGGATATCCATCGACACGATCTTGTATTTGTTGGGCTTATGTATCTGCAACGGGGGCTCCAATACGTCCAAGAAGTCCGACAACTGGTCGTATCTGATGTATTGCGTGCCGTCCGGGTCGAACTGCTGCCAAATCTCGTAGTACATGTCGTAGTCGTCGTCCGTGAGACCCTCCTGCACGTCCTCGGTGGCCTGCGAGTAATTCTCGAGGATCACGGCGATGTACATGTTGATGACGATCAGGAAGCTGATCACGAGATACGAGAGCAGGTATGCGATCCCGATCGTCGAGGATCCGCAGTTGCCTGGGTAGCCGATCTCGTTGTTCGGCTCCTGGCAATCCTCCTCGTTTATTATGCCGTCGAGAACACCGTCCCAACCGGCCGAGGTTGACATCTGCCAATACATAATCACAATAATGTTAATATATTTATAGAATTTTTGGTAAAATACTTTAAAAAGACAAATTCTTGCTTCAAGTTTTTAAAACATACATGTGTCAAACATTTAACGTTTTAATATCAACGTATATAATAAATGATTTTCATCATTCGTAAGATTTTGTAAAAAGAGCTGTCGAGAAATATATTTTATATGACATAAAGATAGTGAATGTATAAAATCTCTATTTAAAAAATTAAAATTTCGATGTAAATATAGTTACCTGAAACAGCAGTATCATTGACTGCCCGAATGTCTTGAAATTGTACACGTCGTCCAGTCCGCTCTTGTCTTTGACGTGCATGAAGAAAGACATTCCGAATATCGCGAAGATAAACATCACCAAAAACAGCAGTAGGCAAATGTTGAAGAGGGCTGGCAACGACATCGCCAGGGCAAAGAGAAGGGTTCGGATACCCTTGGCACCTTTCACGAGTCGAAGCACACGACCGACTTTTGCCACTCTCACTACACGAAGCAAAGTCGGCGACACGAAGTATTTCTCAATAATGTCGCTGAGCACCAGACCTGTCGAGGACGAAAATTTCACATTTCAGCAGAACTCGAGAATCACTGAACGTGCTCGAATTAACATCAAGGACAAAGCGAGGGTGCGGTGATATCACTTATGGCGCATAAATGATATAATTCATTCATAATTCATGAAATTCTCGTGCATCGTCAGTCTAACGGGTTCAGGAATCATGCGTTTGGATCGTTTAATTTTACGTAGCTATTGTTATAGCTAGTGTAGTTAGTAGTGAAGTAGAGAGTGCGATTCAGAAAGACATAGGGCTTTAAGTGTGCGTTTCTATAAAAGTTGTTTTGTATTTTTCTTGCAGGTTTTTTATGTCATACGAAAAATAATATTAAAAAGTCGTGTATTTCTATTCGATAAAAAATAACTTTTTTCGCGAGATACGAACGTTCATATTTGACACTCTGTTTTTTGCTTCAAGAAAATGTGTGCATTATATTGTATCGAAAATAATAGATTATTAAAAGATTCATGCGCGTCCTATATAAGGACTAGATACTAGAACTTTGGCTGGAAATCTCATAAAATTATATAGGAAGCGTATATGAAAATTGATATCGAAATATGGAAGCTCTCTCTATCGTAATCTAATTAAAATTATGCGGTGTCTTATGAAAGATGATTTTAAATTTGTTAAAAATTTCTGATCTACTGATAACATTCGAAATAGAGAAATAGTCTATAAATCGATCTATTATATACATATTTTGGTAGTAAGCGAAATCCTAAAATCTATTTTATACAGACCCGATCTTACCCGATCTCACCCGATCTTACTTCGATTAATGATTTGTTGCAACATTGATTAATGTCGAGTGGCTCGTGCAAAGCGTTACGCGTCGTTATAATTATTTCTGATTTGTATTTCTGATCTGAAAATTCTCCGATATTAATAATGTTAACTCTGCATCATATTATACTTTTGTCACGATTCTCGATTTAAGATACGAAGTAACGCTGAGAGCACGGCAATTCGACTCCGGACACCAACAACACAGTTTGGTAGGATACGAGTAAGGTGGTGAACGGGACGGGATTGGCACACGGGTGGGATACAGATTCAACATCAATGTAAGGCTACATAACGTAATGATATCCATCAGTCGTTGAGACACGAGCGAAACGTTAGGCCTGTACGCTTGATCGAGATAGAAAGAGATTCTGCGTGCATTAAAAAAAAAAAAAAATCTAGAGGCGAAACATGACAGCGTGGCATGCCGATCTGTCCTCGCTCGTGAGATAGGATACTAGTCTAAAGAGTAGTATAGTAGGTACTGTAGTGGCAAGAAGATAATATTATTCTGTTTAGATCGAGCAGCGAGAGAAGGTAAGCTAACAGGCCCGGCATTTTTTCATATTTTCCTTCCGTTTCACTCGGGTCATACGACTGGAGCAACCATTACGTTACATTACCTAATATTGACAATATAACAACAACAAAATCAAAGAGATTCCATGGCTCCTTGAAATAGTGGTAGCGAAGAGCGAAGATCTTCATGAGACACTCGCTGGTGAATATCACAATGAATATCATGTTGAGATAGTCCAGAACGTCGCTGAACGTTTTGCTCTGCTGATAATGGTCCAACGTCATCGTGAGCATGTTCAGCCCGATGAACAGCATGATTATCATATCGAACTTTTTGTCCGTCACTATTTCAAACACTATTGCCTGCGGCCGCCACTGTGAACAATCGAAAAAGATTATTATGCCGACTTATGCGTGGCTTATTTTTTTTTCCTTATCACATAACGTGAACTTGTCGAATTTAATAGAAAATATTTTCTTAATACTTTATTATATTATATATCGAAATCAAACAGTAATCAATTGATTTAAAAATAAAATTTGATTAATACGATTCGCGCATAAAAGTCGCACTATTATTTCATATTTACAGCACAAGTGATTTTATTTGTCGCACGCGTTTGTTTACATTTAATTGAATTTATTGTATATTATATATAGGATCAAAAATCAATTATTGCTACATGTCGATGAATTAATTAATTACGAGTAATTTTAACTGTCGCACACAAATCAAACGTCACACTATATTTTTACGAGGATATTTCGTGTTCTTGAATTGTTAAAATTTCTCTTATTTCAGGACTTAAAAATTTAGAATAAAGTTTTACAATAAATATGTTAATATATTTTTTCATTAAAATAAACGTTATCTTTCATCTAAATGTGGCAATTCTTTTAAACATTATATAATTAAAATCAACATTCGAAGTTTTCAGCTAAAGAATTAAACACAGTCCCGTGTCGCGCGGGCACGGAATTAAATTTCGCATCAAATAATATACACCAAGTTGCAACACATGATTGCATTAGGATTCAAGTAGCGATCCATTAAGCTCCATAAAAATGTTCTCGTCGTGCGGAATTAATCGAATTGATAAACGTGCTTCGATAACGTTACAATTTATTCTACGTGTGCAACGTAAGTTACGTATGAAACGTACAAAAGAATACAATATGCAATATATTTCGTTCTATATAATATTCCAGCACATTATTCGAGGGGTTTTTCGTACAGTCAACAGATCGGTCAGCATGCGGCCTTCGGATTTGTTTACGTACGACGTAACGGCGCGCCGCGCGACGTGCGTACACAAGGTCACCGCGCTCTAGCATTCGCACGCCGACACTCGGGCGAGTAGGCAGGCAGGCAGGCGATGGCGCGGCGTCCCCCGCGGGCCCGCGTATACGCCGTGTGTACTATAACCTCCCGAAACGCGACCGCGGCGGGTACGAAGCTCCGTGAGATGTAATTATTCACTAGAAATACGTCGCGGATATCAATCGCGCGCGATCCTCCAATTCCACTCCGATTGAGCGGCTCCGTAACGCGCGTCCGGCCATTCGACGGCTTCTCGTATACCGAAGCGGATATGCGTTATGATACTTCCGCGTCATACGTTCATTGTCGAAGCGGGCATTACCGTAAGTATCGCACACCGTGATATACTAATTGTGGCAGATAATTATTTCTCTGACAATTTTTCCGAGTCAAATAGAGCCCGTATATTGTGCATTGAATTTTACGCCGCTTTGGTTTATAATTTGTCCATCAGAGCGAAAGCGTATCGAGTGATAACACGAATCGGATAGATATCGAATCGAGTAATGGAAGGACAATACATTGATTATGTATACGTGTACTTCGAAATTGATACGTTCGGAATAATCAGTAAATGTTCGTCATTTGCATATCGGCGATTGCAACGCGATTATTCATTCGCAAGATTCATTCAATCGAAATCGGCCGCGCGAGCAATCGACAAACAACATGTATATTTCCGACATTTGCATTATTAGCATTTCGCGAATATTCGTTTTCAAGTCGTGAATTTGCCCGTTTACGCTATAATACATAAGCGAAATAAGTTATTGCCCTAAAGTATAATGATCATGCGTTATTTATTACAGTTATCCAAGGAGCGAAAAGTGCGGCTCGAGAATTGGGGGGGGGGGACTAGGGGGACGTGGTAGCATCGGTCTGAAGTTGGCCGCGCACAATCAGGAACGGAATACGCTTTGCATTGTGGGACTCGCCTTCACGTGAATTTGCAAGATGCCGTCTCGAATCGTAGTCCCGTGCTGTCCCGTTTTGTTTTCGCGTTGTTCTTGCCGTAAGTGTACGTAACGAAGTACGCGTCGCGCGCGATTAACGTCGGGAATCGGGAGTGCCGTGTAAAGTGTCGCGCCATTGTCGTGATGATAGTTGCGTATACGCGATCGTAATAAGATTTTCGCGAGTGTGTGTGTGTCGAAAGGAAGGAGAATCTGAGAGGAGGAGGAGGAGGAGGCTTGGGAGACATCGGGCGACGGTGGAGTCAACCCTGAGGTGAATAATTCATGTATCATTTATTACTTTTGCAAAATTAATCGGCTGAATTATGATTAATTTCGAATGATTTTGATATTTTATTTGTCATGCGTCGTTTCGTAATATTAGAAAATAATTTTATCTTAAGAGACATTTATTACATTATTAGATACATTTTTATGAAAATATTTTTAACGTGTCTAATATTTGTTTGGATTTTTATGAAGAGTTACGAATTCGATTTTTTTTTTATTAAGTTTTTAAAAGTTTGTATTTAAAAACATTTTTTTCGGCGTTTAATGTTTTTTTCTTAAATGTTTGATCAACGAACGAATTTGATGCGCGAAATCATTATTATTTTGAACGTTATGTAATTTGGGTATATTTGTATTTTACAGATTTAACTTCTGTGTACTACAACTCCACTGCTACGAATCGTATCGGTGAGTGCTGAAAATATCTTTTATTATTCGTGTAAACTTACCCTCGGTCGAGGAATGGCTTTTAGAGGCTTCTTATTGCCCATTTTCTTCATGGCATTGTAATATTTCTTCTGATCTTCCGTCATGAACATCTCGAGGGATCCGCCAGCTTTCTTCTTTTGTTCGTTAAAATTGTCGATGATCACTCCGATAAACAGATTGAGGGTAAAAAACGATCCAAATATAATGAAAAACACGAAGTAGAGATACATGTAAATGTTCGTTTCGCGAATCGGTTGCTTATCGATCTGTAAACGATTTGAGCCACGTGTTATAACGATGTATATATTGATAAAAAAAAAGGAGTCGAAATTGTAAGATTATATACTCACGTCTCTAGAGTCGATCGCGTCGTTCATGATTTGGATCCATCCTTTGAAAGTCGCCACTTGGAATAGGCACAGATACGCTTTCCCGACATGGTCGAAATTCATCGGCGAATTTTCCCACGTGTAATTCTCGGCGTTGCAAGCGTTACGATCCGGTATTATCTCGTAGCTGAGCGTCGTCTTGTTCGCGTCGACACACTGCAGCGAAAGTGAATTTATAGAGCGCGACTTTTTTTTTTTAAATTCTCGAACAAATCGCGAATTATTTAAAATAATAAATATCACTTATCTGAGAAGTAATTATCGACTTCTATTCGTATATATATAGAAATATAGTCACCTTATAATATTTGCCAGCGAACAGCTGCACCCCCATGATAGCGAATATAAGCCAGAAAATAAGGCATACCAGCAACACGTTGAAGATGGATGGAATGGCTTGGACCAAGGCATTAACGACTACCTATGAGAGACGAAATTTGGTTAGGCGCGATATCGGACTCAATATCAGACATTTCACTAAGAATTTCTGCATCTATGCGTTTATATATGCGATTGTGTCACGCGTTACACGCGTAATGTGCTCTCGTGTTAAGACCAAAAACGCGAAATTTATTTATCCCACAAAAATAAATCAGATATAACTATCCCTATTTTTTAAAAAACGTAATAAGTTTCTTCTAAACAGATTTATAATCTTTAAAAATATTGATAATTTTGAAATAAAATATTATTAAGTAACGCGATGAATTTATTACAAACGTATCATAACTTTCTTATGAATGATATTCGCTCGAAATTTAATATTATCGCAAAATAAAATAAAAATTTAATCATAAATAATATTTATTTATATGTTCCTCTGTGCAGTAGCTTAATTCCTTGCATAATATGATACTTTACACGCTTCTGAGTAAGTAGCGCCAATTGATAAAATTCAAATATAATGATCATTATAAGCAGATGTCGGCCAAATAAATTAGAATTTGAGTAGAGAAATATATACTTTCCGGTTCTTGATTTACATACACACCAAAAAATTTTATTATATTAGAATAATAAATTAGATAGAAAAATAAAAACTTATTAAATGATTTTCTTATTTTAATATTGCACGGGTTATTATACAAGCGATAATTTAGGCACAAGTTTCGTTAGTGTGTATGTAATTTAAGCGGGAAGTTAGTATACAGTTAATATAATTGATTAAATGTAATTGTGACTCTGATTGATCATGGATCCGTGATGATACGCGCATCGTGTATTTTATATCTACAACTTCCATATTCGGGTGTACTAAAAGAAAATAGCCACAGGCAAGAGCAAACATGTAAGACAAGCGCAAGTTGCAGCACGAACGAAAAGCTGACGAAAGCAAGCAAGCATTCGGTCTTCACGTCTACTATAAGCAATCCAGTTGCAAATACTACGTCTAAGCATTTTATATACAGAATATCCCACAAAAAAAAGTATATACGAGTAGCGCGGGCTCTCATTTATTATGGGCATAATATTTACTGGGTGTTTCCTTACTCTAAATTATACCGGTTGTTTAATTAAGCGGCTCTTTAAACATCAAACATTAATAACCAAGCCAAATTCTGCAACTTATGTATTATTCGATATAAAAGACCTTATCTGTTTAATTTCGCTTGAGGAACAATTACTACGATATTTATATAGCGAAAGGTGGACGATCTATAACCGCTAAATATTTTGGATAAAAAATTTCCATTCGATTTAGCCTTATTAAAAACAAAAAAAAATAGTGCCATTTTCTCCTCTCTCAGGACATTCAGTATATAATATTTGAAAAAAAAGAGGAGCAACTTAGAATTCTAAATAATTTACGCGATTCACATGATTAATATGTTTCCCAGAATTTCCTTGCATATATTAGAAGGCGAATTGTTTATCTTTTAGATTTCTATTTACGCATGTACGAATATACGAATTCGGAGGATTCTGGGAAATATACGAATCCTGTAAAATTCAGAAACAAACGCATCCTGCTACCTTCGTGGTCTCGTGCAAAAGCAAAACGCAAGAAATAAAATATTGAGCGCTCCGGGGAGCGGTTTGCAGAGCGAGCTACTGTAAAATAGAAGAAGTGTCAGGGCGTGGGCATGACAGTAATTACTACAACCCAGTGTCTCAGCGACCTTGTGTTGCGAGTATGTGATATAAGTATGAGTATTTGCGAGGAGATTCGTATTCGTCGCGATTATTACGGAATGGCGAGCCTTCTTCACTACGCGTTGCAAGAGAGATGAATGGAAAGTATCTCATTATGTGTATATCGCACATTCGACCGCAAATGTTATACTGACCGAAATAATGCTGTCGAATGAATATATTTTCAAAAAATTTCGATTTTTGATTCTAAATGCGATACGAATAGAGATTCGTGTGGCTAGTATTTTTGTGTATCTACGTCGAGCTTCCAGAACGCAACCGTTGTAACGCTGTCACACGCGCACTATTATATCAGGCTCGTGATTTACAAAGTCAGATACACGCGATGCTCCATTTCCGATCGTCACGTTTAAATGTGCTGTTCTAAAATATTTTACGTATATAGACATTTTCCCGCGAAGATGGAACGGGCACAACTCGTGTATCAATGACAATCCACAGATGAGATAAGCGCGTGTTCTCTGTATGCGTTTCTATGTATTCTATATATTTGCATGTCTCTTTCGATTAGTGTAGTGTTGATCGATTGTGGACGAATTATCTACGCGCTGCTTCGCGCATTCGCATTTCTAAGCTCTGCCGTGCATTCGCGATTGTCTTTTTTTTTTAGCATGTTCCCGTGCAACAGGAAGAGAATGTAATATTGAGTTTCCATCGATTCCAGATCGACGATCTCTTGCAGTTTTTCAAGAGTCAGTATCGAAGAATGTCAGATGTTCTGTCTTTAAATTATAATAGTTCTTTTATATAAAGTTTTTTTTAACATAAACAGTTAAGAAAATTCTAGAAAAATTCTTGATAATACCTTGATGGCCATAAAGAGTATTATTATATTATATTTGCAATTGCATTTTATATGAATAATTTATAAAACTATCGCGCGCACGATTCTGTATAAATTATATACGTTCGAAAAAACACATTCAATAAAATTAAAAATATATACATATTTAAAGAATCAATCAACTATTTAGTTTATATATATTAAGAAATAATAGTGTAGGTTTTTGGCTTTCAATTCACATTAAAGTGACAACGATGCGGGCTCTTGATAAACATATAATCAGTCGAATTTCATGGAAGAAAAAGGAAATGATGATTTTTGAATCCATATAATCTGAGCATCATTATTTCTAGTGCGAGAATTTTATCAGATAGTGTAATACGTATCGTTTGAAAGATAAAAAATGATGGTAATATAATGTAATAATAATAATAATAATTTATAAATGATTATAGGTACAGTAGAGTAATTCAGTAAAAGCGAGAGTTTGATGAGCTGCGATGACGCATTATCGAGAAAAAAAATTACATAGATTTGATTAGCAAACTTTTTTGTGCATATCTTCCAAGAAAATAATATATGTCATAAGCTTTTCTTCTTCGTACTCGAAACGTAACACATTTCTAAATTTTTGCAAAAATGATAAAGTAAATGATTATTTCAAAACTTGCGTATCAATCTAAAATAAATAAAGTTATATTAACTTTTTAAAAATATTTTTTGCAATTATTTTTTTTTGTCTAAAAAAAGTATATCTTTTTCATAACATATGTTTAATAACTTTTCTATCTAACACAACAGTTTGCAATATATCTTATACTTTAAGTAAATGTCAAGTAAAATAAAATTCATTTACGACGACGATTAAGCAGATATTCGTATAAAAATACGTTTTCTTCCTGGCGTCCCCTTGATGTAAAATATTGACGGAGGGATCATAAGATTAAGGAACATATGTTATACTCCCCGGCATTGAAGAAATCAAACATTGGGGGGAGGGGATCGACTCTGCCGTTTTCTCCACGGCGGACGTAGAGCAAGCGACAAGGTCTGCTGAGACGGTGGGCTACATACCCGCATCCCCTGCATTCTAGACATCGCCCTGAGCGGCCTTAGGGCCCTTAGGGTCCGCATTGTTTTGAAGGCTTGAATCCCGCCAGCGCCACAGAGCGACGCTACGAAGTTAATGAGCGATACCTGCGAGCGAGAAACGAGAGCGAATCACAGCGACAGGTAGACAGACGTGTGAGGGGTAGACTTGATCAATTCCGACGATTTCACGGACGTTGGGATGTAGGCCAGGAGGAAAGAGGGGAGGAGGGTTTAGTCAAAGACAGACGAGATCGGCGTATTACTGCGTTCCTTCGACTCCACGACGGATTAAGACAATTGGATATCTGTACAAAGACGAAATTCGAGGGGCTGTCGATCTGTGGAGAGCCTCGACATTTCTCTATCTAGATATATATGTATATACTCATATGTACATTATTGTACCACTCTTCTATGAGTATCATTACTTTCGAGGGTTCGTACAAAAACGAAGAGCGTATCGTTCGCTCAGTCAATTAACACCACGTTGAGGAGACAACTTTCTCTTGCACGTCTCGTTTTCGTGATATTCACGCGCCCAATATTTAATGAGAAAATTCTCTTAGAGATTTTGCAAAATTTATATATAAAAATTAATCCCAAGAATTGTATTTAGCATTTAAATAATGTACGCATTTAGAAGGCATTGACAATCAAATTTTATTGATAATGTTATTTAAATTACTACGAAATATTTCGTAAGAAAATCATAGAACATCTAATAGTTGACGTATTGCAAAGATTATCTATTTACTGCGTATGTAAATTGAAGTGGTTTACTAGATTCGAGAGCCGTAGGCAAGATTTCGTAACGATACTCATAGAACAGAGGACACATTACATTAATATTACAATATAATACGACAATTATATAAACAAGGAAGATAGAGGCAATAGATTCCAGGTACGGCACATATAGCAATTAACAGTAATCAGGAGATATACATGACTGTGTGTATGTGCATATATATTATTTTTACATGTGTACGTGGAGAGATACATATGTATTTCATATATAGACACACACACACGCGCGCGCACAAGTCAGAAACAGAGATAGATAGAAACGACAAACGGTAGGGATTATCGTTATACGAGCAAGTACTATCGGCTGCATCCTGAAACAGACGAAAAAGGTTTGTCATACTTGCGATCGCGACGCATCACGCGAGTCTCAATTTAATTTATATACGCACGAATGTGAAAGATACATCATTTGTTTGACTCACATCAAGATTATATCCCGCAATTAAGATGGGAAAGAAATTAAATTTGCTCACTTATCATATTATCTTTTTTTTTTCGCTAATCGAAAGGGAAAAATATACTCGCGATGAAGCGTCACGGCGCATCAAGAAAGATCTCGATAAACATATTACATATTGCGCGCGTAGACGCTGCACGTAACATCCCACGCGCGCGGGCACATCCACACACACATACGTACGAGGAAGTTTTTACACTACACAAAAAGCATATTTATATGTAATATATATGTATATATATATGTATATATCATGATATAGATATTCGTACGTTGCACAAACGATCATTGGTACCACGAGACTGTTAGAAAAGGCGTACATAGGCGACTTTTAGCTAGTAAATATACGACAATGACCCCAGGTGCAGACACCAAGTAGAGATGCCAGTGTATCTCTGCACATCGGTATAAGCACACCATAAGTACACCATAATACACCATAAGGCAAGCTACCCTTCCGTAGCTGCTCTTCCCGCTTAGCCCCTTTAAAAATTTTCGTCTTTTTTTTTTCCACCTCGTTCCCACAACGGATATTTCAAAAGCCGAAGCTTCGTACCGCGTCCAACGGATCGATATCGTACTCTATCTAAATCGCTTAATCCACAATCGATCGGAATCGAGCCGAAATAGATCCAGTTTGTTTTAAGGGATCGCTGATTTTCACTTTGACCCCGTGGTCCCAACATTAATTGCTTTCGTGCGAAAATCTTTAGCAAATTGGAGGGAGAGCCAGTGAATTTTTTGGAAAATGTAATTTTTTACAAAATTATAAAAATGTAAATAAATTTATTTGTGTGAAAATCAATTTATGTAAAGAGACGTTGTTGGTAGACGTACGTACATGTGCACGAGTATAGAAATATCTCGCGATAACAGGAATATAAATAATTGTCCTTATTAATGCTGCACCATCGACAGAAGTCAACGCTTAAATCTTCGATTCTGTAAAACGACTTGGACACGTCTCGGCTCGTTCCCGATCGCGACATCGTCACTACTTTGAGAGGAAGAAATATAGAGACAGAGAGAAAGGAACAATTCATGCATAACCGGCAGTCCCTCGTCAATCGGAGGTCCGCGCGGCGGACAAATTAATTAAACGTGCTGTCGTGATAAACGTGATCGATCCGTTAGCCCCCGCGTACGATCCATCGAACGTCGTTGCGATAACAGGCCGAACCACAGGCTTTCTTTGCATTTATCGTTTCGCTTAAGTCCTCGCCGACCGATGACTTACTCTCATGCCCTCCCACCGTGAGACTGCTCGTAAAGGTCTCAAGGCCCTCAGTGTTCTCATGGAACGGAAGGCCGGGATGTCAGCTGCGCCGGCCCAGATAGCGCCCAAGTTGACGAGTGATAGCTAGTTTCATTAAATATTCATCAGACGGGACAATAATATGCGTCAGTTCTTACAATAATACTTATAATGGCGATCGATTAAGAGAAATCCACCGGAAGCTTCGACGCTCGGCTCCCACATTGCTTCGCACGTCGGCATTAGTTGTTTCGAGGGTTGAAAGAGGAGAAAGAAAAAGAAAGGGGGAGGGCAGATAAAAATGTAAGAACGAGAGAGATCTTTGCGCGCGGTAAAAGAGGTTCGGGAAAAAAATCATCCGTGCGTCGATTCTGATGTTCTATCGGTTCTATCTAAAATACTCGAATTATTTATCACTAAATATATCTTAATCTTTATATCCATAAGTATTTAAATTTCTGTTATCGAGGCACGAATGGTTATATTTTTCTGCGATCTCAAGTCGTGGATGACACTTCGACTTGTTTTTAAGATCAGATGACACGCTGCTGATAAGACTGCACTGCGGTATCGTGTGTTGCGATTCTTCGAAGCGACGTACTTAAATGTACAAACGACGCGAAAGCAATACGGTGAATAATTGATCCGCGTGCAGTGAAGTCATTTGAGAACGACAAGACTCTCTCGTGAATTGTCACGTGTGCAATCGGGCTTTTAGGCGTATCGAGATTTTCCTTTTATGCGTTTTCAAATCTTCATTGAAAATTACGGATTCACATCGAATCATCATTTTCCGATAATCACGGGAGAAGCTACTCAATTGCACACGTTATACAAAATCAAATATTTCTGATAATCGGGTTAAGATATCGGAGAGAGAGAGAGAGAGAAAGAGGTACTTACCATGACGATGATAAAATCGAGCCAGCACCAGGCGTTCGTGAAATACTTCTTAAATCCTAGAGCCAGCCACTTGATCAACATCTCGAGGAAGAAGATCACAGTGAATATTCGGTCCATGTAATACAGTACGTCCTGCAGGATAGGTCGTTGTTGAAGATGAACGTCCTCCAAAGCCTGTAAGCCGTCCGTATTTCGCACGTTCATTCGCTTCCCCGATATATTACCTTGGATTTGCGAAGAGATAGGGAAACAATCTTACCAAGGCCAAGCTACTTAGAAGGATCATGGTGATGACGGCAGTCTCGAAATATTTGTTCTCGATCAGCCCGAAGGTTTTGAATCTCAGATTCGCCCAGCCTTGCCAAAACGGAGCGTCGTCGTCGCCGGCCAGGAATGGAAACTTCTTGTAGCAGTTTTCTGGACAGCAATCGGCCGGGTAATTCGACTGAATGGGATCCTCATCCACGTGTATTATCTCGACGTCGAGTTTTTCCTCTTCTTCGCCCTCTTCACCGTCTTCTAAATCTAGACACAGAAGTTTCAGCTATCGTTATTGAAACACGTTCGATGTTAAAAGTCTCCTTCTAATCGCCAGATTCGTGTCGATCTCTCTTTCCGAATTTTTAAATAATTAAAATTTGGTAAACACAAAATTAGGTAAACCGCCTTACCTTCCTCCTGTTCCAAATCTTCTTTGCTCGCATCTTTCTTCTCCTCGCCGTTTAACGAATCCATACTGCCTTTGTGACTCTCGTCTTTAAACGCGCGATTTTTGTGACTGCCATACGATTTGTTACTGTTAAAAGAATATTCGGGGTAAGGCATACGCTCTTAACGATATTATCAGTACGTGAGCATTTTATGAAAGACCTAACCAACCTGATGGTGTCATCTTCGTTCTGATTAATATAATCGTTGTCCAGTCTATAATCGTGATGGTTTATTGAATTCGCGATAACTTTCGTATTGTTCATGCACAGCTTACCCCTCTTCAGTTTATTCTTCAGATCTCCTTTGGGAAGGGAATCAAATTCGATATATTAACTATAAAATTAATATATAGTACCATTTATATATTTTTTTTGAATTCAATTAATAAAGGATGCAAGTTTTTAAGAAAAAAAGGATTTGCATAATGGGTTTTTAATTTTCAACTTTTTATTCTTTAATTAATTATTATGAAAAAAAATTTACCATCTTTTACAACAATGTTTAAAAAATTACTTTATATGCAAATTATTTTTATTACTATTTTATATATAATATATTTTATAGTATATTAATAATATAACAATATTAACACATTATGCAATATCTCTGCCAGCTAAAGACGATAATTATATAATACGAGAGGAATTATTATTGTCACATTGACGAAGTTTTACTTTGTTTCCGATACGCTTACCATGAATAGTAAATTCCATCCCGTCACCAATGGCAACCTCAAGCTGATTAAGCTCTTTGGCGCTCTTCTTGTCTCTATACGCGTCCAATTCTCCATCTGCAAGATCTAGGTCCCCATCGCGATCAATTCCATCTGCACAGTCATACAAAATCTCTAACCCGCCCTTATTAGGAAATTCGTATCGGAAAACAAATCGGAACGCGCTGAAAATTATACGAAAGATGCTGTACACAGATAAAAAAATATAATATAAATCCGTTCGCCGTATATACAGGCCCATTGCATACACACACGTGCGCGATTGTTTTCCGTCGCGATTCCCAACGTGTCGAATTGAGAAATCAAATCAAATTAGTAACGTGATCATGTTGTTCGCATGCAATCGTATATGGTGTCACTTATGTCCAGCGGTATCGGTGACCCGATCCGGTTCGAGACGGTGTGTCAACGATTTACAATGTAGATGCTTTACGCATGATACTTGCTGCATTAACACATTTGATATTAATTTTACTAATAGTGGTTTTGAAATAAATCTTCATCGGAACGAAGATCCAGTTGCTACATACATGTTTTAAAGCTATGTGAAAGATACTTAAAAATTGCTAGTGAATATTTTTTAAAAAGATTTCTTACAGAAGAATATATGTGTTTGTATTTAAAGAACAATAGTGTTTATAACTTTCCATTTTCATATTTTAAAAACGGTCGAAAAATTAATTTCCCCGAATATCAGGAAAAGTTACAACATTTGACTGTGGACAGAAATGCAGCACGCGTCATGCGATTTCTCATATGTGTACGTGTCTACTCTTGCTTAATAGTAATCTTGAACGAACTTCATCACCATCGAAGTTACGTAGTAAAATGCGTTCCCAAAGTAAAATGCATAGCAACGTATAACTGCCAGGCAGCTAATCAGCGAAATAAAACTTAATTTGCGCTTAATCCCACCGTGCATTTTAAACACATCGAACTGTTTGATTATGTCTAATCTTCGAAGATTACTCAATCAAAAATGTGATTAGACTTGAACCGGGCTGATCGTAAATCAGTTTGAAAAGAGCGATTGTTGCTCGTATTAAATCTTAAATAAAATTACATTATATACAATACATTATACGACGATTTTAACGAAACAAATAATAATAATAATAGCGAACCAAGAAAAATTTTAAAAAACTGCATAATAAATCGAATGTACCAGTCGACGTATATATGCTTTTATGATTGATAGCAAACATTGTTACAAAAACGATATATTAACAAATTATAATTAATAAATGAAAAAAAAATTTAAATGACATAAAATAAGCGAATGCTGTTTAAAAGTAATTTTGGCCAACAAAAGGAATATGATCGAAATCTCTCGTCCGCTCTGTTCGTCGATGTAATTCATAGCTCGTCATCGCGCGTGATTTTTATTTAATCTACTGTATCGGTCGCCGACTGGCACCAGAGAGCAAAACGTGTGAAAGTAGTGTAAAGCAAGAACTGAAAGACAGTGCCACGAACTACACAGCGCACACAGCAAGCGATCTGATTGGATATAAACCTTCTTTCCAACTGTTGGACGGTCCCTCACCTGGCGCCTGATCGGATATCTGATTGGTGAGCTTGGCTCGCATCAACTTAAGGAAATTAAGGATGTTTTTCTTGATCCACTTAATGAAACGGGCTATTCGATCGATCGCCTCCGCGATCTTGTTCGTGTCGTTGTCCGCAGTCGGGGCCGACAGGTTCGACGAGCCGAAATTGCTGAGCAACAGAGCTAAGAAGAGATTCAGGACCTATTTTGTGAAAATAGACCGCGATTAATCGATTGAATAAAACGGAATAATTTAATATGCGCAAAATTTGCATATGTCGTAAAATGAGGAGCTTCGCTCATCAAACTTATTACTGGAAAGATTCCGCCTTTGTTACTTACGACCAAGTTACCGATGACAACGGTAGCCAAGAAGAACGGTATACAGGAGACGTCACCGACCAGCATGCAATCCCACATCGACTCGATCCATTCTCCGCACAGTACTCGGAAAACGATCATAAACGAGTGCATGAAGTCGGTGAAGTTCCATCTGGGTAGATCACCGTCCGGGAAGTAGTCGACGTGATCGACGTAGTTCTTGCCGAAGAGCTGCATACCCATCACGGCGAAGATGAAGATGATGATGCACAGCACGAACGTTAGATTACCCAACGCGCCCACCGTTCTGCCCATGATGGAAATCAGCAGATTCAACGTAGGCCACGATTTAGCCAGCTTGAACACCCTCAACTGAAAAGAAATCACATTTTCGATAACTCGCGCGATCAAAATAATTGCTTGTCGATCAATAAATTAAATTGCGCAATAAAAACAGCGACACTCACCAATCTGAAGGATCGCAATACCGACAGACCCTGCACGCCTTCGAGACCCAACTCCAAAAGCGAAAGAGCGACGATGATAAAATCGAAAATATTCCAGCCCTCTTGAAAATAATATTTTGGGCTCATCGCCATCAGCTTCAGAGTTGCTTCGATGCCGAATGTCGCCGTGAAGAACTAAAATTTTGGATTAGATCGTCAACATTGTAAATTATTAAATTTGGCCTAATGTGTCGTATAACGTGCATGTATTAAATTTTTTTTCTATAATTACTTTATATATACATTTGCGTATATTTGACGGTACTCACGTAATTGCCAGATTTGAGAACTCTTTCCATGTCTTTGTCCATGTCGTGGTGATCCAGTGCCATGAACAGCGTATTAACGACGATGCAGAGTGTGATAAAGAGCTCTACGAATGGATCAAAGACCAACAGGGAGATGTACTTTTGAATCTCGAGCCAAAGCCAACAGCAATCCCAGACGCAAAAGATGTCGATACAACGAAACATTCCGGCCACTAACTTGTCCTTGAACGTAGGTTCTTCATCGTCGTCTGTCGGAAAGTAATAGGTCGAAACTGTAACGCGCGTTAGTAATTTTGTCTGGCACCACTCTTTTTGGGGAAAGAGGTTTTTCTTTGGTCAGGCTCATTCTTCGAGATCACAGATTATATTTACAGGCAGGCAGACATGCAAGCCGAAGGCGTGGCGAAAAATTAAAAGTGGCACACACGCACATACCGATTAACGAATCGCGTAAATCTGGATAAACGTACATAATACTGTAGCCGCAAAATATATAAAGGTAAAATTTCTTTTAATGTTAATTACTTTTTTAATGCTCACATTATTACATTAACATTACTATGCAGTTCCATAAATTGAGAAGAAAAGATTTTTTTTAATGAATATTTTATTTATAAAAATTAATACTGTACTAGTTTGATATAATAAACAATGGTAGTGTTGGTTAGTATTTCATACGATATGCAAATTTCACGCAAGGCGCTAATATAAAACTGAAAAATGATAAAATTTTTAAATAAATATCATCGTGCAATATTAGCGACGCGAATAATGTGCAATGCGACGTAACATAATTACATTAAAGCATGCGCGCGAACTCAACATACAATTATTACGTTTTGCACACACATAAAAAAAATGAGATAATTTTATTTTAATACTTTCGCCTGCATATAAAAGATTGTGAATTTCGTTAAATGTTCCCTTTTTCTTCAGCAGTTAAAAATTATTTATACAATTATAACACAATTATATTAAACTTGGAAAATGTAAATTTTACTTATAATTTTAAAAGATAATTATCTTTTGAAAGATAATTATGTTTCTGCGGCGAAAGAATTAGACTGTAATATAAGCAATTAATGACAATCAAACGCCAACATATAATCACGCGAAACTCTCCTCAACTCAAACGCTTTACAATTAAATACAGTTAACAAACAATATCACGCACGGCTGTACATTTCTGAAACAAAGCGATGAGTCTATGCGGTCTTCAGGAAAATATTCTCTGTTTCCGCGCGAAATGCTTACGTCAACGAAATTTGCAGACGCGATGTAGCGAAAGTGATTTATCAGCTTCACGTGCAAAAATTCGAAACCTATAAATCGTAGGTGTGATCAAATATTTTTTTCGGAGACTAATAACGCGCCGGTAAAAATACTCATTCCTATTTTTCAAATATGCTGATCTTGCCGTATTGTGCATCCGAGATAAAACACGATAGTGCCCTTCAACGCGGTGGTGATGCAGGTGCAAAAATATCGAAAGTTTAACCAAAATCACTGCAATTTCATACCGAAAATCAAAGATAAATAAGATTTCTCAATCATCGATGAGACAATAAAAAAAAATATCGAAAATATTATTTTTAAAATAAATTTTCTTATCATTTTTTTAATTCATGGAGAGAAAGAGATTAGATAAAGAAATAAACGAAATAAATATTATAAAATTAATATTATTGAATATTTTGAAATAAATATTTTTTTATCAAGAAATATACATATTTATATATTTCTTGATAAAAAATATTAATTTGAATATTAAAATAATACAAAATCAAAGAAGTATTTTGAAACCGCTATATTTTTGAGTTATTTATATTATTTATATTGCCGAGCGTTATTTACGGTTTATCGACGATTGAGGTAATCTGAAAAAAATCGAAGCATGAAGCGACCGGGATCGTGCAGCTGCGGCGAAGGTGGTAATCTGTGTCACATCGCAGGAAACGAGCAAACTCTGTTTCCCCAAAAAATGCTTTCACAAACCGCCCTCAAGGGCCCGCGGGCCGCAATCGTGTCTTTTTTTTTCTCGTCGCATCACGCTGCTCAGAAAGAGAAAGAAAGAGAGAGACAGAAAGACAATATCCTGCGTTTTACACATTATTCGTCATTTAAATACTTGGCTCTCCGTTTTAATAATCGCTGAGAAACGTTGTGTCGATTCATATATATAGCGAACCGCATCAGTTTACACGCCATGCGTAAAACAAAGGTATGTATAAGGAACACGAGCGTGATCTTTAGCTGCGTCGAATGGCTGGGATGAAAATTAAAAAAAATGAAACTTGTTCGTTCTACTATGTATGTACAAGGCGCGCGTGGCCCAGAAAAATGTCCAGCAAAAATAGTATACCAACGCAAGGGAGTAGTAGTATATGACGAGAGATTTTAAAAAACCAACAATGTACATCGAACGGCAGGATGCTCACACGATAAACAAGATATATACATTTGCGATAGGGGGAAAGGGGGGGGGGAAGAGGGGGTTTTAACAGAGGACAGAAATTTAACTGAAGGAAGAAACTTCGAGGAAACTTTGACGAAAAGGGTGCGGAAAGGGACGGCGACATTACCTCCTTGTTCCGGCGTCTGGCTCTGGCGACCGGCGGCTTGCTCGATTATGTCGTTCAGCACCATTACATCTGCGCAAGGAATGATAGAGGATCGGAGTAAGTTTGATTGCTTGGGAGAGCCCCGGAGGTTATTCACTAACTAGTTCTCAGTCTCACCCTTCATGTCGACCACGGTGTGCTGCTGCGACGGCTCGATAAACGGATTGTCTTGTTGCTTGGTCTTGCCCATGGTATCTTCCAGATCGGAAGTTTCCTGAAAACGTTAAACACTCAGTTGCAAATGCTCTTTTGGAGATATTATGCGTTCGAATCTGAACGTAAAACATCTAATTTTGGTATTGACATTTGTGGCGATTTTATAAAATATTGTTTGGATGAGTGTATTCTATTCTCAGTCCGCAACAAAAATTGTAATTGATAAAAATATATTCTCTACAATTATGTATAAACACGGACGTATTTTTCACAAAGCTAAAAGATTTAACATTTCCGCAGTTTAGCAAACTCCGACGTATCTTATCTTCAGTTAGACCATCGAAATTTCTTTCAAACTCTATTTTGTATTACATGATTGTCATATTTGCGAGTTTAAAGATCACTTACGAAATGATAAGTTTTCTGATTGGTGTCCGTAACGTGGCCATTGGCCGGTGTCGTCTGTTTGTTGTTTCTATTCCTGAGGATCTGCTCCTGCTTGGTGAGCTGCTTGCCGATGGTGTCGATGCCGCGGATGCCGGGGAAGGCCAGGTCACCGTGGGATGTGTAGGAGAGCCGCGAGGCGTGCGAGGTGTAGGACGAGTGACGCGAGCCGAGATTCGCGTAGTACACCGGCACCACGATCGTGCCGTTCTCCTCGGACATCGGCGTGACCGCGTTCGAGTCGTCGGCGTAGGGCAGGTGTTCCTGGGCGTCCAAATACGTCGACAGCACGAGGGGCTTCCGGTCGCCGCCCGGCGGTACGAAGCATCGGCCACGGCCGTTGCGTATCGTGAACTGGTGGCTGCCACGGCTGCTGCGGCGCAGATTGAACGGTGAGCCGGGTAGGCTCAGGCTCGCCTGAAATTACAACAAAGCGGACCACCGCTTTTTTTTCTCTCTCTCTCTCTCTCTTTCTCTCTCTCCCCGTTCTCGGCCCTTTTTTCTGGCGGCCGAGCCGAGGGCCAGCCGGAGAAAGGCGTCTCTCTCTGTCCCTCACGGCGACGAGGTGTTTCCCTCAGGACGATCGTGACATTTCCCGCGGAAAATCGATCGCGACCTATCGCAATGCGCTTAACGGATTGTTTGAAGAGTCATGAGCTGTGATGTGTGAAGCTTTTTAACTGGTGTCGTTTGAAATAGATTTTTGGCCATGCTCTCATCGGCCGAATATACAGTAGCGTTACGGAAGATTGTTTTTAAAGATGCCAAAGATTTATCTATTTAAATTAGGACGAGTATGCGACAGGTAACTCTTTAAACAAGCCGTTCTTTAAAGCTGCGTGAAGTTGGCACCCCTAAATGCGAATTTTGACAAAATCTATATGGCATTAGATTGTCCACAATATGTCCATATTTGTCCAAGAATAATAATCTTTTGTCCACTCTTGGAAAAAATTAAAAAAAAA